AAGTGTTCTAATTTTACACTGAAAACAACCAAATATAATGAAAGGACAAAAACACAAATTTTAAAATGGAGTAATGATTTGGATATTCCCTTACCAGCAGTTCAGTGTGATTTTTTAGAGCTTAGGTTTGTTAGGAGTGAAGACACCTTGTACTTGGTCATGAGAGTTGAGGTGGCGAAGAGGTGATAGAATTGAGAAATATGTGAGACCCAAAAACAAATGAACAAATTCACATATTTGTGTGACTATGAGAGGATACTGGACCAACCTGCTTTTCAAATATCTACATTGTGATACTTGGAAAACCTTTGTTGATAGTGATGAGAAGAAGGAAACACACACACACACACACACACACACACACACACACGGGATTTCCTCCAGTTTTTAATTTTTTGTGTGTGTTGTTTATTGGCTTTGTTTTTGTTGCAAGACCAGTAAAATATTTTGTGTTTCAGCAGTCAAGTTTGAGAAACATCAGATGACCAAGAATATAACTCATGAGATAGTGAGAAGATCTGGATGAAGCGAGGATAAAACCCAGAACCAGCATTCATCTCTGAGCACAGGTGATGCTGTCTAGCAAGAGAACACTAATCAGAACAAACACCAAGTCTTGGACAAGGGGTCATTTAAACTTTTAATTTTGAATTCCCAATGGGGACTAAAAAGAAGGGCATTGGGCTGGCCCAGTGGCGCACTCGGTAGAGTGTGGCGCTTGGGAGTGCAGCGGCGCTCCCACCGAGGGTTCAGATCCCATATAGAGACAGGTCCGCTCGCTGGTTGAGTGCGGTGCAGACGCAACACCGAGGATTGCAATCCTGTTACCAGTCGTGGTGCGGGCACGACACTGAGGGTTGCGATCCCATTACCGGTCACAAAAAAAGACAAAAAGACAAAAACAAAAAACAAAAAAAGAAGGGCAAGAGAGTATGAAGAGAAAACAGGGACACCAGTGCTACTGAAACCAAGGAGGAGTTTCAATGGCTACTGAGAAGTATATAATAAGTCGAGGACTAAGGAGTGTCCCCTGGATGGAAACAGGAAGCCATTGCTGATGTGAATGAGCTTCAATTAAGTTCTCCACACTCCCATGAGGAGCAGACCATGAAGAACACCACTTCTTGACATTGGCTTTTTTTTTTTTAACCAAAATTATGAATAAGGGTTTCATTTCCGTCTCTAGCATTTGAGCACAAATTTTGCTCCAGCCATTGTGGATACAAGTGCCACAGTGTGGTTTCTGCTCTCCATCTTACTTACAAGGGCATAAAAAATACACTAACTTAAACTATTTTAAGGTTTTAAAATATATTCTCAAGGAAACGTAGGCTGGTATGGAGGTACTCAAAGTCATACGATTTTATAACTATCTGTAAGAAAAAAATATTCAGCAAACATTGACTTCTGAAAAGGACTGGAGCAGCTCTAATACAATCAGGAACAACACAGGTTAAGTACAATAACTAATCAATCAACGCAGTCCTGGAATTCCAAGTTAATATAAAATCACAAACAAATTAAAGATCTAAGTGTTTTTAGATGACAGTTACCTTGTTATAAAAGGCACACTCATGAACCTTAAGAGAAACCAGATGGGTAAAACAGGATCTCTTCTTCAGAAACTTAACCCATGCAGTTATGGGAGTGTAGTCTATAGGAGGAAAAGTATCAGTGCTCAGGGGGGAAATGGAGTCTCTTCAATTTTAAACTTTATCACTGTTGTGTTGGAGGACCTTTGGTGCCAATTTCGATAAATTAGTTAAAAATGACAGAAGAGCCCTGAGTCAAAGAATATATTTGTAAACTGGAACTTCCTGTCTGAACAAGATGACAAGAACCATTTTTCCTCCTCCTATCTACTAAGTTCAACTATAAATTACGGAATTTACCTAAGAAACACCCACAGGAGAACTCTGGAAGGCTGTAGAAATAAACAACAGAGTGCCACGATGCCATTATACTCTCACCAATCAGGAGAAGGAGACCCTCCTGATGTGTTCCAGAACGTGGCAACAGAAGGCTGGCAGGTAGGGTCATTTCTCCCTGGACTCAATCTGATTTCTGTGACAAGAAATAGTGACTACCTTCCCCTTCCCCAAGCCCACCATGACCTGAGCAAGATAGATTCAGAGCCCTGGGGGCAATTAGCAGTGAGTCTGTTCTCTTTTTTCCCCTATAGATGCTAAGACAACCAGGCAGCTCCTGCAAAGACCCACCACAACCAGTGAATTATTCCAGGAAGATGTACATTCACATGTATGTCATAAGTTACTATTCCTGCCTCCAGCTCTTCAGGAGAAATATGCTTGGGGACCATGCACATGGTCCCTATGTAAAAAGCTCACAGATTATGAAATCTGTTCCCAGAAGGCCTGAGTTGTTGGGGTGGGATTCAGAAGTGCATGGACCCAGGAACAATAACCTCTGGGAGAATCTGCTCCCACCATGTCTGACACACTAGCAGAGTCATTCATTCTGCTGTTGTCACTCTCTGCAGCTCCTGTCTTTGCTCTGAGATTCAGGGATGGTGTTTTTACACTGTTTGAAAAATAACACAGCCCAGCTGTGAAGATCAGAGACGCCAAGCCTGAGAAAAGAGAGAATGGCATGTAGGGACCTAGGAAGCCTATTCATACTCTGTATTCAAAAAAGGGCTTCTGAAAGACCAGTAGGCCAGCTCTGATTGGATAATCCTGTTAGTGGCCATCAGCCAATGAGGAAATAAAATATTGAGACTCTTCGAAGAGTACTTGCCAAAGACCTCCACCTACAGCATATTCATCTTCAGAGAGTTCATTTTCATGTTTTTCAACTTTTCTTTTTTAATTATCACTAAGTCCAACACATAAAATTACACACATGTGGAATACTAGAAAATACAATTATATAACCATAATCACAAACTTGAGAATATGTCCATGACTCATCTCATTTGCATTTATTCTTTCACCACTCCAGCCCTAGACGATTTTTTTTTTCTTTTTCCGTGTCCGGCAATGGATCGCAACCCTCAGTGTCGCCCCCGTACCGGACCGGGACCAGCAACGGGATCGCAACCCTCGGTGTTGCCCCCGCGCCTCGCTCAGCCAGTGAGCGGGAATCGGTCTGTATGTGGGATCTGAACTTACGGCGGGAGCGCCTCCACGCTTCCCAAGCGGCGCACTAGCGTATGCGCCACCGGGCCGGCCCCCCTAGACGATTTTAAATGTCTTTCCTGTGTCTATAGATGAGCCTTTATAAAAATATCTTAAGTGCAAAAATAAATTATGTAGTTTCTTTAGGTCTAGTTTCTTTCACATAGCTGGACACTGTTGATGATCTTTCCTGTTAGAGAAGATATCATTACTACATCTGCTTTGATTGGGGAATAGTATTCTATGGCACAGATACACCACATACGTGTTACCTTCTGCTAGTGGATTAATATTTGTTTCATTTACTTTGGGCAATTATAAATAGTGCTGCTATGAGCATTCACATATGAGTCTTTGGCCATAAACGTATCTTTTTTTTTTTTTTTTTTTGCATACACTTGAGAAAGAAATTTCTGAGTAGTACTGTGATTCTAGATAATATTTTGAGAAACTGCCAAAATGTTTTTCAAAGTGCCTGCACTATTTTACATTCTCATTTACAATATGACAGTTCCATATTCTGTAAATCTTTGTTGACACTTATTATTGTCTATATTATAGCCATTTTATTGGGTGTTAATTATCCTCCTTATGGTTTTTATTTGCATTTCTCTAATCACAATAATGTTCATATTTCCACGTACTTATTGACAATTTGCATATCTTCCTTGTAGACACGTGTATTTAAATCCTTTGTCCATTTTAAAAACTTGATTGTCTATTATTGACTTTTAAGAGTTTCATCTTTATTCTGAAATATACCCCTCACACAGATAAATAATTTAAAAATTTTTTTACATTGACTTGTTCCTTCTCTAGAATGTGATTTTGGTGTAATTTCTAAGAAATTGTTATTTAGCTTATAATTACAAGTATTTGCTCCATTATTTTTCTATAAGTTTTATAATTTTATCTCCTACAAACAATAAGAGATCTATTTTGAAGACTTTTGTGAATGGGTCTGATTTGAGTAAGGGGTTCAACTTTATCTTTCTGCAAGTGTATACAATTTTCCCAGCACCATTGCTGAAAAAACTGTCTGTACAAAAGACAGTGTTGTGTGTGTGTGTGTGTGTGTGTGTGTTTCTGGAAACAAATAGCTAGTCTTTGCCATGCAGTATTTCTCCCTTATGTGAGTTCTCTGATGTCTGCTTAGGTGTGACTTCTGACAAAAGATGTTCTACATTCATTACAATGAGCCTTCCATATCCAAAAGATCCACATTCGTGGATTCAACCAACTATAGATCAAAAATATTTGAAAAAAAGAAAGTATGGCAATACAAAATATACCCAAAAAACTACAACTACTTATATTGTTTTTAATGTATTCAATACTATAAGTAATCTAGACATGATGTGAAATTGTGCAGCAGAATGTTACACAATAGATCATGACTTCATATAAGACTTGAGCATCCACAGATTTTGGTATCTATGGAAAGTTGTGAAACCAATCCCCTGAACATGAGTTCTCTGATGCATCCTGAAGTGTGCTCATGACTAGTAAGGCTTGGTTTCAAGTAGAAAGATTTTGTACATTCATTACATTCATATGGTTTCACAACTGTGTGAGTTCTTTGATGTACACTGAGGTCTGCTTTACTGTAGAAAGGCTTCCTATATTCTTTACATTCACCTGGATTCTCACATGTGTAAATTCTCCAATGCTTGCTGAAGTTTGACTTCTGGTGAAAAGGTTTTCCACATTCATTACATACATAGGGCTTCTCATCTGTGTGAATCTCTGATGAATGCTTAAGATTGACTTACATTTGAAGGTTTTTTCACACTCATTGTATTCATAGGGCCTTTTCTATGTGTGAGTTTTCTTATGTTTATTGAGATCCAAGTTATGGTACAAAGATTTTGTACATTCTTTATACTCATATGGTGTCTCACCTGTGTGAGTACTGTGATGTACACTGTAGTCTGATTTACTTCAGAAAAATTTTGAACATTCTTTTTATTCATATGGTTTCTTACCTGTGTGAATTCTCTGATGTCTGGTGAGGTTTGACTTCCTGTG